TGCGATGTAATTGGACTTTTTTGTTCCCTGTAAATATTTAAAGAAATTTATATCAAGTCCAAGTTTCAGGATGTGGGTTTTTTTTTTTTTCTCCCCTTTGCCCTCTAGACAAGGCTCACAGTGCTCTGGAACGCACAGCTGACAGCTGAAAAAAAGATAGCTGAAGTGTCCACAGGCACGTGTTCAGAATGCAAGGTCAGTGTTCCCCGCCACACCACGCTCTGGTCAAAGACACGGCAGGCAGGACGTGCCACGGGGCAGGCAGCTCAGTAGATGGCATCCGCTGTCCTTTAAGAAATGGTACTGCGAACGGTGAACGGCCAGATGTAGAAAATTCAGTCCCTTTTAAAATTCCTAAGTCAGGAACCGTACTGCTTTTGTTAGATCCCCAAACCATCGCTCCATTTGCATGCATCGGTGTTTTGATGGGATGATAAAGGAGGAAAAGGAATCTGATCTCCAAACTTACAAAGTCCTCGGTCTCTCTGGGGAAGCGATTTGAAAGGGAGGCTTTGGCAGTGTAAACACCCCTCAGCGACCCCCCGCAGCGGAGCCTGCCCCTGCGCATTCCCTACCCAGCATTGCACAACCATTAACGTTCGCAAAGTAAGCACAAGGCTCAAGGCAGTAAGTGAAAACATAAATTATTCTTTCTACGGTGTTGTCATCGGCAGCGATGGACACGGACTAGCCAAAGGGCTTCACTTAATATATAAATTGTTACACCTAAGTTCCCCATGTGAACATTTTACTTTTCCCTGAGCTGTGTTTGCACCAGAATAACCTTTTGTTTGTTTGGTTTTTGTTTTTACCCAAATACCCAGCCCTAGGCATCTCCCTGCCTCCTCGTGGCTGGCTTCCAAATGACATCTTAACCAGCCTGAAACATCTTAACATCTTAATAACATCTGAACCGTCCCAGGAACACAGCAGGAACCGCAGCGGTAGCCCCGTTCTCCCCCTTTCCAGGCCAGGATTCGTCCTCCCCCGTCACCCTTCCCTCCGAGCTCTGGTTACCGGACCGACACAAACACGTTAATTATCACCAAGGCCTTAGGCCAGGGCTCCAACAATTCAACAACAGCTTTACAGTTCTTGCCCTCTCCTCCTCAACATGCTTAAACCAACCAACCTTTTGGAGGGCTATGAAGTGAACAGATACAGGATTTTAAAATATAGTAGAAAAAAAGCAGCAAAAAGGTTTGCAGAGTTAAAAAGGAAAAGAAGGATGGGGGAGGAGTGGGACTATTTCTGAGGTAGGTTCAGGCACCCATCCACAGGACTGTGTTTCAAACTGTCACCCTGGCAGTACAGGAACCTAACAGGTAGGGAAATCATTCTTTAGGCCCACACTGGACCCTTTCGATGAAGAAAATACAACAAAACCAACGGCAATGCGCTTGAGTTCTGCTGGGTACCCCCCCCAGTTGTATCAATGTACAGGTGGGCAGTAGGGAATACACATTATCTAGAATGCCCTACTTTAAGCCCCAGCTAAGGCCATTTAGTTTGCAATCATGGGTTTACGCTGAGTTTAAGCCCACCTAAGGTCACTAAATTTAAGACCCCTGGAGAGTGCACTGATTTAGATCTGGGGTTTTTTAAAAGCTATTTGATTATGGTCTATTTGTGTAAATTGAAATTACAATGGTGGACACAGCCTTTGAGATTTTCTTACAGCTGAGATCTAAGTGAGGAAATAAGGTTTGCTGAAGAAGAAATACTCCCTGCTTCCACCCTGGATGGATCAGTTTCCACATCACTGAGTTCCTGAGGAGAGGGAAGGATCACCACACAAAAAGAGGCCTAATAAGGAAGACAGTTATTGAAAGGGAAAAAAAAAAGTCCTAGTTAATAAAAAAAAATCTCTATGATCAGCAGAAACAGAAAAGGAAAAAGCACCTCAATTAGACAGAAAATATTTATATTGGCCAGCAGTCCTCAGTTCCTTCTATTACCTCTGCTGCACAATTCTTGGATTCCCAAGATCTGGAAATCAGAATCAGAAATACTGGCAGTATTTCAGGCGTTATCAGCACATTACAGAACAGAGCACGAACAAATCGCTTGCTACAGACCACGCATTATTTAGTTAATTCCCAGCCACATCATGAATGCCTGCTGCTTTTAGACCCTGGTCAATTAAGTCTTTTAGCCCTTACCCAAGTCTACGTAAGATTTGGAGAAATTCTGTCCCTTTCCGTCACTTCTGTGTCCTTCCTATCACAAACAAGGAAGTAAAACTTACTAATGACAGCTGTGATTGAAATGGAAGGATGTCAAGCACGGACGGGCACTCTCTCCTTAGCCAGCCCCAGAGACTCGCACTTGCAGACCTGCCGACGCTCACCACACAACTGGGGCAGCGCCTTTCTTGCCTCACCTACGAATTGCTTCACTTTGGGGAGCTTATGTCATAGGTTTGACACAGCCTGAACTGCAGGTTTTGGCTTTATGATCTTTTCTTCGAGGGTGCACAGCACATGATTAAGTGACAGAATGAGGTCAGCTGCTTATTATGGGCTAATTGTTATATTCCCTGGACTAGAATGCCAGTAACTGAATTTGAGAACACAGGATCTCTGCAAAACCAGAGATCACATTCTAAAATTAGAGCGCTAATGAAGGCTCATTAATAGGCAAGAAGAATCCCTCTAGAATTCCGAAGCTAGTGCTAAATATATCTGTCTATATAATCTCAAATGCACTCGACACATACGACATCTTAAAGTTCCTTATTCAATTACTGTACAACTATTTGCAAAGACTATACACGAGCTACACAACCCCAATACTACCCTGAGGTATTATCTGCACGATCCAACTGAACTTTTCACTTTCAATAAGAAGCCAAGTTCTCAGAAAAACAATGTAGCGAGGATACAACCCTATTTTGACCGCTATCTTATGTTCTCGGGTGTACCTGGACTTGCTTGCTACAGCCACACGTAAGCACGCTGATGTTTTCTTTACAGCACACTCATCTTGAAGTAGTTTTAGTTTCCTGTCTGTTCTAAACAGAGCGATGATCAGATTTTCTACAAACATACTACAGAATGGTTTTAGTAAAAGTGTGGTTCTCCAATTTCCTGTTCCACGTAAATGTTTCAGAGAAATGCATAAAGCCAGCGGTTTCCATCTGCAACTAGCGACCTATTTAAAGGAAGCATTACAATGAAATGGCTGAGCAGCTTGCAAAATAAACCACATACCTCATATACTTCTCCCATCAAAATTAAATGCGTCCTTTCAATAACATCGAGAACTCCATTCTTTCATCCACAACAGAGGTTTGGAAGATGACTAGAAAGCTAATGAAGCTACCCAACTTTCAGATGCAGAATACAATCTGATGAATGCTCGGGTGTGAGGAGAAAGCAAAGCACATTTTTTTTAAAAACAGATATGCTTTGAATTTGCTTGTTCATGTATATTTCTTTCTGTTACGAAAGACATGCAATGAGCTGAAATCTATTCACCGCATCATACAGCAATGGACTAAACAGATTCTTCATAAAAGAAGAACAGGATCAGGCCTTTCATCCACCAGAATGCAATTAACAAATGGTTTGCTCTAACTGAAACACAGCCATTTGGAGTATTTGTTTAATGAAAGAGCAGTAACATCTTATGCCAACTCAATCACCAAGACAGCAGCACATGCTTCTCTGTTCTTCCCATATAGTCTTCAAACAACCATAATTCAATTTTGTATTTTGGAAAGTCTAAAGCCCACAAATTCCAGAGAGAACAGATACCCAGCTGTTTTCTTTTTTTTAAATGGATAAACTATTAGACTCCTCCTTTGTAAGACGTGACATACCAAAATATTTCCAAAAGAGACTATAACAGAAGTAATCTGTCTATTCTTCTTGTTCTGCATTTTTCTAATTGATATAATGCATATAACAGAGGGACAGATATTTTACCCTTATCTGTATTATACATCTACAACCAGGGAGAAGCTTGTTTTCCATGTCATGTATTTGTATCAAATAGTCATTTTTCTTCCAGCTGATACTCTAAAACTACTTTTTAGCTTTGTAAAAAAAGCCTTGTGTGCTCCAGCATACCTGCGATAACAGAATAAATACAAAAGGAATTAAATTGCCAATATAAAGATAAAAACCCCCTGTTTTAGCAAAGAGTAAGGAAATAGGAACTGTAAGAAAAGAGCAAGAAGTAGTTCCTCCTCCCACACACCAAGCCCACAGAACCGAAACAGTTTCTAGATTACACAAAGCAGCTCACCCTTGAAATGCTGATGTTAAGAATTTGTACGTGAAGCAACGCAAGTCTGCTTCAAAACTTGAGGTAAAACACATGAATTCAAATATTACCTGACAAAAACATGAGGTATATAAACATGGAAAAAGCAAGACAGTATGTGTATTTGCATAATTTAACATTTCTACAGGATGCAAGTGAAGAGGGATGAATTAATTTTATATCATTTTAAATGTCACTGCTGTACACAGAATGTGAAGTGCTTTGAGTCACTGCAGTAAATCCTTTTAGTAACATACTGAAATAAAACTAAACTCCATTACGTCCGTGTACAGACTTTAAGTGATTACAGAGTTTACTAAGGACTGAGGAAATGACTGTAATTCTCCAACACTGGCTCAATTCTGTACACATAGAAATCAGTCAGCTACAAAAGTGTCCTGTAAGTCAAAGCTGCCTAGCGTACCAAACTTCTCCTTTACAGCACGTGTAATGCCTTACAAAAAGACAAATTAATTCAACAAAACACAGCAAGAGAAAAGTGCTGTTTTCAGCCACATCCAAGCAACTCCTCTGGACTTCTATAGGAGCATGAGCCCAGATGGCAGCGTACAAACGACAGTAAGAGACCTTTTCCACAAAGGAGTACAAACTATTGTATTTACAAATCAATCAAGGACACTTAGCCCTGGACAGAACTTAGACATTGCTTTCATCATAAACAACAGGCTTATTACACACTTCAGATTCTAATGCTTTTAGTTTTAGCAGGACTTTTTTGAAATTAAAGTTGCAAATAACTTCTGATACAGTTAGTTCCTTACACTTAATAAATAAGAAGCATCAAGAATCTTCATGGTATTGAGATGCACAGAACTATTACACGGTTTCAGAGTCTATAAAAAGAAAAAAAAAAAAAAAAGGTCCTTTGTTACTGCAAAAATTATAGTTTATGTTCTTCAAAGAAGAATGGCCCTAGTGGTATGTTCAAGTGCCAAAATAAGGAGCAGGATGAGAGGCCGTTACTGCATGCCAAACCACTGTTCTTGATCTGCCCACTGAGCTGCTTCACTGTCACTGCCTTCCAAGTCCCCCTCTTCTCCACTTCCCTCCATATCATCCACATCTTCTTCCTGGGTTGCATCTGTTGGACTTTCCTCTTTTTCCATTTTCTGCATTCCTTCTAGTGACTTCTGATCATTTGGATCCAAACTGAGGAAAGTAAGAAAAAGAAAGCATTGCCCTAAATTTTTTTTTTCTTTATTTGTGACCTTATTGCGGGGGGGGGGAAGTCTCATCTTGTTGTCTGCACTTCCTGTTTAACGTGATCAAGAAGTTAAATTTTAGTAGATGATGTAACTTAGCCCCAGGCTGACTGTAACACGAAGTATTAACTCTTCATATAAAAGAGTTTTGATCCCCAAGAATGCACTAACTAAACACCACTCTCTTCCAGAAAACTCAGTCAACTCTTCCAGACAATACTTATTATAGAGTAACATGAAAGCAGTAAAAATTCAAATTACTATGACTAAATGTATTATATGCAAGCAAAAACCAGCCGGCCCATTTAAGCTATATAAGTTTAGAGCGGACATAACGTGCCAGATTTAAGGCAAATTTAACTTGTTCATATCAAACTGTGGTACATTTAAGATGGTAACACCCTAAAATAACATTTAGATTATGTTAAATCGAATCACACTACTTCAATTTACTTAATAGCTCATTTTTATACAGCACGTTCTAAAGGAATGGATCTTAAGATGCCTGACTATGTAATTATTAGTAACTATAAACAAATCCATGTCTTACTCCTTCCGTTAGTCAAGGAATCGCATGCCTAGTGACATGTTCAGCGTTAATGCAGCCCCTAAATTTAGCACTTCTCAGTTCAAAGCCTTATGACCAACTAATTCATTAACAGGATGTCATTTGTATGTTTTCGTTTGTTTTAAGGGAGAATGATATAAACCTACCTCTGACGCACATCCTAATCAACTTTTTACTTAGCCAAGTTGATCACTGGTTCTTACAAACATTCTGCAGTCTCAGCGTCTCTGCTTTACCTTAGGGCAATGCTGTACTGGTCCATTGCTTCCTGATACTCATTGACAGCTACGAGAAAGTCTCCCAGTATTCGGTGCAGAACACAGTCACTCTGATTAGCCAGTGCATTCCTCAGCAAAGCAATTCCGTCTTCATACTTTTGTTCTCTACCTGTTTATATGCAAAACTACAGTTTTAATTAATAGTTTAGATAAATCTATAAAAAGTCAGAGCGTACACAGAGTCACCACGACACAGGACTATTTCTTCCTTCAGAACGGTCAACATGGGAGATAGCAATGATACGCTTTTTGCAAGATTAACTCTAAACAATGGCTTTTTGTTGCAATAACTGCTACACTCACAATTACACATACTTTGAAGTCAAAACATTTTGTTTGCAATTGTTTTAAGTGCTGGTGTAATAGCAGTTGCTACATGCAATTAATTCTTGTGATTTTTCCTTCAGGATAGAACTGATCAATCCCTGGGCTGTAGCATCACTGTTACATTCTTCACACCGATGAGGCCGCAGAACATTCTTCCGTGTAAAACAGCACGCTTTAAATAAATCAACATGGGGAAAAAAAGGAACTTACTAAGAAGTTCTGCTTTCTTTACGACAGCTTTAATGTAATCAGGTCTTTGCGTTAGTGCTTTGTCCAATAATGTTTTTGCTTTTTCCTGCGTGACTGGGTCTTCGAGACAGACTGTTGCTAACAGAGTGAGTGTCTGTGCATTTGCTCCCAGAGTTTTATACACATTATTTGCCATAACCATAGCTTCACGAATACTGTTGGACGCTAGGTAACATTCAATGAGACCTGACAATATAAAAAGGAAAACATTTCAGGTTTTGAGTTAGCACTGCACCCTGCCTCAATTATTTCCAGTTAGTAACACTCAGACTCCAAACACTGACACTCCAATAAGCAAATACAAATTGCAATTGAGAAAGTGACTCTACACATTTTAACATATCCATTCCACAGATAATTACTTCATCACTTCTATTTATGGCAGGTACTAAAAAAGCCTAAATCTAAGTACACCTAATCTAAGATATTTGTCCAGTTCCAGTACAGAGATATTAATACTTCACCTCGACTCTTCACAACTCGCTATTTACCTGAAGCTGCTGTTGAGATCAACAAGATCTAAATAAATACGACAAAAGTATGACAAAAAGAAGCTCCCAGTGGAACTAACCATACATTTAACGTCATCATCCAAATGTGATCTGCTCAGAACACCCAAGTCTGTTTACATCCAGTTTAAACAAAAACAACAAAAGAAAAAGCCCTGTTTGAAAATCGTTCTTATAAATACACGCATTCTCCAGTATCCCTCATCTGACCGCTTCTACCAGAGCTTTATAGGTTTTCAGGTAACAGTAATTTTACTTCCTAGAAAGTCAGCAGGAGAAAAGAGCTCCTGTCTATTTCCTTGCCTAATGATCATCATGACACCAACCTCCACATCAAACTAATACTGTACATGTGAGTACCTTCACTTCACTCACCTTCATAGCAATCCAGCCTGCAAGGTGCAAGACGTATTGCTTCACGGAAGTGTATAATTGCTTCTTGTACTCGGCCCATATTCCTAAGAGCAGCTCCTTTCAGCAGAAGAGCTTGAACACTGTTACTATTAAGCTGGATAGCTTTGGCTCCTAAGTATAAGGCACGGGAGTATCGTTTACTGTAGAAACTATGACACCTACGGAAAGATAAGAGGGATTGTAAACATGTACTGCCTGTGGTGTCTGTGCACATTCATACAGGTTTAAAAGAAGGAAAAAAAAAAAGAAGTTACAGGCAACTGTTGAACTTCTCGCATTTGAAGTTAAGGATTTACCTTCAGGAAAAAAAACAACTCTTCAGGAGTTCAAAAAAACCCCAAAACAATACGAATATTAACTGTTAAAACTATTTCATATATTATTGTTATTGCACAGGTGTGGTAACTCTAATAGATTTAAACATAGAGAAAACAACCAAAATAGATACAGCTAGGATATCTAATTCAAGTTACCCTAAGAATAAAACAGATAGGATAGAAAAGCACCTTCTGAACAAAAAAGCTGAATCCACTGTATCAACTGTAATCCACTGCATGCAGCAAATCAAGAGTTGAGGAAAGAAAGGAAAGAAAACAGCTTACCCAGATACCACCCAGGGTTCCGCATGTTGATCAGAAATATTGAAGAGTCGGCAGCCCAAGTTCTCCACATCCTCTAGTCGTCCTTCACGTGCCAATAAATAACCATATACATCCATTCCTAAAGAGAAAAGTTTGAAGATCAATCAACAAGAAACAGAAAGTTCATCCACAACAAGAAAAAACAAAACCACAAACACCTACTTTAAACTGTGCAAGTACCAGTAACGGTTCAAGATTCAATTCAGAATGTAGACTCAGAAGCTGTGTAAGCCAGGTACGACAATATACAACATTCCACCGCATGCCTGATTGCACGTAGCTGCTACTCTAATGTTACTCATCGGATCATTACACTAGGTAAACTTTCTTGTAGGATTTACTCACCTTTTATTAGGTAAGGATCCAGCATTTGTGCTTGTTCAAATTTTAGAATAGAGTTTTTATTATCTCCAGCTCTGAAATACAGGTCTGCTAAGCTCCCCAGTAAGTCTACGTTATCTCTCAGCAATGACTTTTTCTCTAAAGAGCTTTACGAGAAAAAAATGTTTGTTATTTATATAATGCCATATTAAATACAATTATATATAAATATTAACATATTATTTGATTACATCATGGTCTTTGAACTCTTACCAAATGGTATTTATTGCTCTTGTGTTGTCTCCAGTATGCACAAAAGCATATGCTTTGATCCACACGGAAAGCCAATCCAAGTTAGGAATACTCTGAATTACGTTGATGGTCATAGAGGCCACTTCCGCACCTTTCACCGACAGCGAGAGCAAGCCTATTCAGAATGGTATATACATCAATTTCAATCACCATAAACTGCTTTTAATACAAATGAATCGTCTGAAGATCAGAAACTCCATCCCCTGACAAGCATAAACAAGCAGCTTGTTACAATGCTTTTTATCATTTGCATAATGTAGGCATTACATATTTCATGCAAATGCAAGACAGCTACCTAGACCCAAGCATAATTCAAATTATAATACTGTTTAATACTGAAATACCAACAACGTGCAGACACCTACCTAGTATGGCATCGAGTGCTAAAGGGCACTGTCTCAGTACTTCTTTGTAGCTTGTAACAGATGAGCGTTCTTGACCTGCTTTCTTGTATAGATTTGCCAACATCATATTGATCTACAAGCAACAGAAATGCCAGTAGAGTCAAGTATGAGAAAGCAGAAATCCTCACTAAGAAAAAGTCACAACTTTGTCTTCAAGCACGCCTGCCTCCATCCCTCCTGTTCTGGGCAGAAAACAAAATTACCTGCTCTTCTTCCAAGAACACTGTGACATATCACATACTATAAAATTAACATTGTTGCTTCTTTCTGAGTCCAAAGATAAAATTTACGTTCTTCAGTATTTGCATAGTGCATCTTGAAATCTCAGTGTTTTGCATATAAGACGTCAAAAGATGGGCAAGCATTTATATACAATGCCAAGAAGGACCTGTATATCCATTACATTTCCTTTCTTTCAGTTGATCTCTCTGCATCAATGGAAGTCTTTGAGAGAATTAGCTTAGGAAGGCAGAGAAAGTTTCCATTTAGCTTCTGAATGAAGTCATGACTGATGAAAGAACAGAAACAAATTGAGCTCTACACAAAACAGGTATCTGGTTTCCTTTTCTCAACCTTTTCTTCTTTTTTTGTTCCGTAAGTTGGTCTTTAACCTGGACGCTTTGACATTACTAGAGTCTAAGCCACGTATGCTGTTAGGACAATACAGGAATACCGTTAACATGAAACATAGTTGATTGACCAGACTCCTTCCAGTGGTGCCCAGCGACAGGTCAAGGGGCAACAGGCACAGGAAGTTCCATCTGAGCATGAGGAAAAACTTCTGTACTTTGAGGGTGGCAGAGCACTGGCACAGGCTGCCCCGCGAGGTTGTGGAGCCTCCTTCTCTGGAGATATTCAAAACCCGCCTGCACGTGATCCTGTGCAACTCGGTGTAGGTGACCCTGCTTTGGCAGGGGGGGTTGGACTGGATCATCTCCAGAGGTCCCTTCCAACCCCCACCATTCCGTGACCTGACGTGCTATTCTTTTAAGCCCTTATGACTAACAGAGCCAGCAAGCAAAGACTCAACATATTTGGCGCTGCAGACCACAATGGGATCTAAATATTTAACATTATCTAAGCTGTTATTAAAAAGGATGAAAAGCTTTTAAAAGGTGGAGCACTAGCATCCTTTCTACTTGCTGAAGTCTTCAGCCTCTCAAGGATCTTACATTGCTCAAACTATAAAAGACATGAAGTGCCATTCCATACGCATCCTGGGTCCAAGAATATATTAAAACACTTGCTTAGTTTGAGCAATCACAATTTAGCAAGTTACATTGACTGGCTAATAGTGAAAACACAACAGAACAGAACCTTGTGAGACAACTAGGCTACAAGTCTCTCCTTCAGCTCTAGCAGGTGACAGTGCGCCTGTCCTGTCCAGCGATACATAGCTCTTCCACAGAGACTAGTACTCTCCGTTGGGCTTATAGCCAGGCAAAGTACATTAATTTAAACAATTGCTTTGGCTCTCACATTTACATGTTTGAATCAAAACTGCAGAAAATTATTCAGTCGGGTATCTGGCAATTCCTTACTAACTTGCAGTAACTCAGCTGTTTGCTATCACATAAATTTTCCTCCTGGTAGATGCTTTTGTTGAGACCAGCCATTATTCTTTGCCCTACAAAAACTATTCATGCAAAGAAGAGCTATTGAATGAATGATACAGATTTCAAGCCTTATGTACGCACATACAAATACTTTACAAACTTTTAGAATAAAAAAGTGTTTCATCATCCTTGTACACAAGCAAAATTCTGTATGTTCTGTGTGCAGTACTAAAGAGTTAATCAGGCAATTCATACAAATTAATAAAGATGCACACAAACATTTAACTCTTCTCACTTTTTTGGAATTCTTTCTAACAGATGGCATACAAAACTTGTCCGATTTTAAAGAAAAGAGGACAAATAAACTAAGCTAATTTAAACATTAGGAAATGTTTCCAAACAAGATTTCACTAATACAAAATCAAATACCAAGACACAATGCCATTATACCTATAGGCTACGATCTTTTTTGACCAGATATTGGCCTACAGATTCAAGATACGCTGATCAAAGACTTGTGACAAAAGTCTGCCAGAACTAACCTTTGGGGTCCTCTGCCTGGAAGGAATCCCATCAAGAATAGCAATGGCATCTTTATCTTGCTTCAGCATTGTGTAGCATTCAGCCATTTTATACTTCACTTCAATTTCTGATGGTAAACACTGAAATAAAAAAAAAGAAAGATTTAAGCAGAATGCTGGTTTAGTCAGGTAAACAATTTGAATAAAGTTTCCTATTTAAACGCTTACACTGTTGCAAAAAATCTAGTGCAAGAAAGTTAACAATGCAATCTACTGCTAGCTCATATCGCTCCTGTCTCCAAATGAAAAGCATGAACTGCACATACAAACAAAAAAAAAATCTCATGTTTGAGACTATATTAATTTTTTGCATTAGAAAACACCACACTGATATCTTCAAAACAAATTAACCTTAAACATCAGGTTTAATTTGACATGACAAATCCACAATCTAAGGTATTTAAAAGACACGTAGACATTGCACTTAGGGACATGGTTTAGTGGCGGACTTGGTAGTGTTACATTAATGGTTGGACGCAATGGTCTTTTCCAACCTAAATGATTCTACGCATATTGAGTCAGCAACATTAACTGTAGGGAACATGATAATTTTATGCAGCGTATCAGTCAATTTTCAAATACCTGGCTTTGGGGAGTTGATGCAGCATTCCCAGTAGAAGGTCTTACTTTTGAAGTTTTACTTAATGCTTTTTTCTGCTGCAAGGCCATCGTATACTTACTTACAGCATTTCTATATTCTTTATCATGGAAGAGAGAGTCTGCATGATATACGAGAAGCTGGTATTTCTGAGATGGTGAAAACAGTTCCCTAGAAGAAATGCAAACAGAAAGGCTAAGATCAGCTGACTGCATAAGAACCAAAACCTTACAGACCTAAAGTATTTGTAGCTTTGGTTTGTTTAGCTTCAACTTCCACTGTTGCTGCTTCTTTACTACACTGGGAGGACCCTCGAGTAACAGTTACTACCTCCTCACAAAGGGATTATCTCGCCAATTTCTTTTATCTGTATACAAACAAATGTAATAGCCACTCCTGACACCTCATCAGTAACAACAGCTTACGTTTAGCTGCTTGGCTGCTGCTTTCCATAATGAAGCAGCTCCCATCCTCCCCATAACAAACCACATACTGTGAATATCCATTAAAGCACATTTTGTTTGAATGGACTCAAGCTTAGAAGGCAATGCAGGTCCTTGTACAGCTATCCTGGTCCTAACCACATGTTCCTACGTTTTACAACCCCCCTTTCTAACACTTCCAATACATTTGCAGAAGTGTTGAAAAGTTAAGGTTTCAGAATGGGATTGAGGCTTCAAAATCACATCTCAAAACCCACCCAAAACGTGAAGCGATACCTTACAGGAAGTCCTGGAAAATAAAGGGAATCACTTGAGTTAGGGGAAGAGCCGTGACCTACACAGGGCACCCTTGGAAGGAGAAAACCGCTCCACCTCCACCAGGACGCTCATGCTGTACCGTGTAGCCCAAAGGGTCCAGGCTGCGCTGCTCATGCTGAACCCCGGGCAGAGGCGCGCTGACAGAGCTAGGCTTCACCCCCGCCAGGGCCAGGGCCAGGAGCCCGGGGCCCACATCACAGAGCTCGACAGGAGGGACAGCTCTAAAAGCGAACCCGCTTCTTTCCCTGCCCATAAGACGCCCCCCGCCACCCTGCGAGGTCCCGCCAGGGCCAGGGCCAGGAGCCCGGGGCCCACATCACAGAGCTCGACAGGAGGGACAGCTCTAAAAGCGAACCCGCTTCTTTCCCTGCCCATAAGACGCCCCCCGCCACCCTGCGAGGTC